GGATGCTTGTCCATCTGTCCACCGCAGTCAGCAGGTTGGTTATACAAGAGTAACCCTTCCTGAAACCATGCTGTTGGGGTGAGAAGAAATTTAAGGACAGTAGATAGTCATTTAAACCGTCGCATATCAGGGACTCCATGAGTTTTGAAGGTAATGACAGAAGAGCCACCGGCCGATAACTTGAAGGTTCATTGCGTCGACCACCTTTGAAAATTGGTGTGATGTGAGCCAACTTCCAATTTTCCGGTAATTTGCCTCGGCTAAGCGAGTGTGAAAACATCACGCTAAGCGGCGTTGCCAGGATTGAGGCTGCCTCCCTCAGTATGGCAGGATGAACCATATCCGGGCCAGGAGAAGTGTCAAGTCTTAAGTGCTGCAATTTCCGGAACACCAAGTCAGCGCTTAGGTCCACTTCAGAAAGTCCTGTGGAATTGCAGATGAAACTGTCGTCAATAAAGTTGATGTCAGCCGGTTGAAATGTTTGAGAGTAATGGGCCGCCAGAAGGTTAGCGGCGTCGCCATCGTTGTTGGTCGGGCCGTTAAGACCTAGCAGTTGAGAAACTCCTGTTTTGGCTTGACGAAGAGAGGCTGCATAACGGAATAGGCTTCTAGGGTTAGAGGCGAATTTGTCCATAAGCTTTGTTTGGTACTGAAGCCTGTCTTCTCTTATAGCCTTCGTGCATATGTTCCTGATATGTTTATATTGCCTATACGCTCCATCGTTATTAGTTCGTTTGTATTCCGCCCAACAGTGCCTTTTGCGGCTTAGCAGGCGAAGGGTACGGTTCTTGATTACTGTAGGTGGCTTGCAGCTTTTGGGAACCGTTTGAGGAACTGAATGGTCTGTAGCACATAAGAGCGTGTGCAGTAAGAAGTCCCAATGACCATCCACATCGAGTTGAGGGTGAACATCCCAAACCACCTGTTGTAGATAGTCATGTAGAGCTGGCACATTCAGCCGTTTAAAATTCCAACGCAAATTATTGTTGGGATACCTTAGCTTAGTTTTGATGACAAAACTGAAGGCTATGACGGCATGATCGCTTTTTCCCAGAGGAGCCAGGATTGAGAGGTTGTCGACTAGGAATTCTTCGTTAGTGAATACACAGTCTAAGCGCGATGGTGTCTGACTGTTTCTCCAACGAGTTGCCGACCTCACATTTTCATATAAGCCCAAGTCATCGATGAGGTTGTAGAACCGAGCTTCAATTGAGTTGTCGCCTCCAGTGTACGTGTGTTCCGCGAAGTTGACTCTAGGGAGATTAAAGTCCCCTAGAATCAGGATGTGTGTGAAACCGAGACGGATAGAGCGGGATAGTCCTTCCAGCATACGACTATCGTACTCGATGTCGGCAGTTGGCTTCCTGTAAATGACTCCGACTAGACACCTCGAAGTACTAGACAATCTTACAGAGCACCATATGGATTCCTCAAGATTGTTAAACTCGAGGTTGTGAACTTGGTGCACCTCCAAGCAAGAGCTTATGTATATGGCTACTCCGCCCCCAATTCCTGTTTTTCTGTCGTTGCGGAACAAAGTCATCCCAGGTAATGCTAACTCTTGGTCCGAGAACTGAGAAGATATCCAGGTTTCAGATATTCCTATCAGATGGGCCTTATTAGCGTTGCTAAGTTCACGTAGTTCATCCAGTTTGTTTGGTAGACTCGCGGCGTTCATATATAAGCAGTTTATGCTTTCAATTTGGAACGCGTGAGCTTCGTCCTGTTTTTCTGTATGAACCTTATGTGAATGGACAGGTAGCCCACCTATATGAGGTTTGCCGAGGTGGTAGGCCCTGTCCTTTACACGTTTTTTTATCGTTTAGACAGTCCACAAGTGGAATGGTCAGCTCCAACTTGCCTTTGTTCTTGGTCCTAGCTTCGTATGGCCTATCCGGGTGCATGTGGATTCCAGGTGGCAATCGACGTCTATTAGCACGAAATGCTTCCAGAACTGCAGCCGCCATGTGGGAAGATGGGAAGGTTATCTTCATTAGACGGGGTCTAGATCACCGTCCTTCTTGGCTAGTCTCGTCACATGCTGAGTCAGTATGTGTTTGAGCCTCAAGGACTGTTTGATGAATTTCCATTCCCTGATGTCAGAATGTGATTGAGTAGGGTCTGCATTTTCCGGTATACCTTGGACAATTATGTTTCTTCCGCGGAAAAACTTCTCGCGAGATTCTTTAGGGATGTTTCGTATGATATTGCGCTCAGAGTACGGTATGTCGGGCAATATTCTTACGTTACCATCTGATTTCAGCAAGTGACTTGCTAGCAAGACGTCCTCTACGTCGGTAGCATTCTTAAGTGTTACTCGGAGAAGCCTCGGGTGATTTAGATGCTTAGAATCCTTTCCTCGAGTGAGCCGGGTGACCGTCAAAGGCTCTATTCTAGGAAGTTCAAGCTTCTTGTTCAATTCACCCCAGAGCATCCTGTCGTTTTTGTCCTGCAGACTGAGAGGAAGGTCAGGATTGTCAACGAGGTTCATGATAATGAGAGAATCGTCACGAACTGTTGTTAATTTACCAGGTTTCACGATGGGTTCAGGTTTAATAACTTGTTGTTTGGAGGTCAGTGTGCGTTTTTGAATCTTGGGCTCTTTATTGACCGGACGAACAGTCTTGGGGGTAGACTGTGCGACCAAATCACCAGTTATTTTCCGTGCAGCAACACTTGGGTTGCTCGGCTTAGGCGGTGATGCCTGGTTCTTTTGGGCTCTCTTAACGTGGGTCGAATCACCTACAGGGTTTTTGGGAACCACTGTTGTGTCCAGGGACCCTGAGCTGGGAGACCCGAGTTTGCTTAGGGAGTCTAGTACTGTCGACGTAATGATGGTGCTGAGCCTCAACACGTCGTCATTAGTGTTGATGGATGCTCCATCAACGGTATGCCTGTCGACATCCCTATTTTTGAGTCCGTCACACGCTCTTGTTTGTCGACCGGATTTTTTACTAGTGTTATCCAAGTTAACTGACAACTTGTTCCGAAGACCTGTCAGTAGGACAATGATGTTACTCAGCAAGACAACTGCGTCCGTGCTGCACGTGACACATACCCACTTTTGGTCTGACTTGCTGAGTTTGTTGTAAGAAGTTGCTGTCAGATCTGTGCATGTTTCGTGGAACCAACCTTTGCAGTTGTCGCACTGCATGCCAGTTGTGACAGCAAAACGGCATCCCGGACGTTTGCATGAGTTTTTCATGACTGTGTTGAAGCAAACTATGTTATAGATGCTTGCAAGAGCCTAAGACCTTTTAAAAAAACACTAAAAAGCACACTGAAAACGGACAAAAATGGACAAAACGAGTGATATAAACTGAAACTAGTCTATACGTGAAAAACAAAAAAAACCGAATAGTAAGCTGAGGCAAAACCACAGGTAACTATTTAATATAGTGAGACTCAAAAAAAAGTAATCTACCGAACGTATAGCTCAGGATAGATTCTTTAGAACTGAAATGGTACTTTTGTTGCGTAAGAACACAGCAAAAGTTTGATAAATGTAAATCACGTTAGGACTAAACTTCCCGTTCGAAAATCCATAATGTCTCGCAAGATTTGTGTATATTGATCTACCCATGTATTTCAGGTGGTCAGAATTCCCCATATTCATCGAACGTTGAGCAATGTTGTCCCTGAGGCTGCACTTAAATATGATTTATTTACTTCAAATTCATTGGCACGCCATGCAGTATCGTTTTTTGCTACAACTGAATGGAGCTATATTCAACAAACATCTTCCATTTATTGCGGGAATTTTCTCTCGCTTCCATTTAAGAAGTGAGGTCTTCCGTTTTAAATTTTCACGTTGTTTTTGTAAATGTAAGATTAATGTATAGTTCATTTTAGTCGTTAGCGTTTTTATCGATTCTTATGTTTAGTTTATACAATAGTAACAAAGCACCTTCGTAAACGAAGGAATTCGCACTGTTATCTGATAATATTTAAGAGTGGATTTAAAACTATATTTGTGTAAAACTTGCTAATTAATCTTGTACACTTTACTAAAAGAAATTAGTTTGGTTAATTACAAATGAATTACTCAATTTTATTGGGGAAATGTCCAAGTTGTTTGTTTATTAAAATTCACTAATTGCGGTATGTCTTCTGATATTTTACTTATTTAGTCAAGTGGTTTATGGATCGGGATAATATAAACTCACTCATGGTTAATTACTTGACCTTATGTCATTCTGGCTGAAGTTTGTAAATGTAGTTGGGAATTCGTCAGCTATCGATTGTGTGAAAAAAGCACGAATACAGTTGGTGGACTTTATTGTTAGTTGTGTTAAAGACCATATTCACCTGGTCGAGTGATTAATTTTACCACCATGAAAGTCTAGATTGCAACTTACAGGCCTTGGGATAGAAGTATAGCTTGTAAATCAACTGAGTAATTCTGAAGTTAGGCGTAGTGGTACTGAGTAAATATAACTATTCGGTTGGTGAAGTGGTGACTTTTCATCCTCTGAGGTGGTTAGTACGTTTTACGTATACCCAACCATCACCTATCTCGAAACAATAGTGGAAAGAATAAGTTTTAAGAAAACTAAGAGTAGTCACACAGAGACATGGCACTAGACCATAAAATCACTGAGTGTTGGTCTGGTAGATGCAAACGCCATCATTAAGGGCTATGACAGCACCACGGCCAGTTATTTTAAGTGTTGAGTTACATGTCTCAAATTGGTTTCAGTAGTGCAGGTTTATTCCTTCTTTGTTTATCCTTAAATCCTCAGTTTTTAATTTGTTGCATATTTAACTCCTATAAATTCGTGCTCAAACCATATGCTGTGTTTCGAATTTCTTCAGCCATCACTAATGGGACTGCTTCTACTCTTACTAATTTCGTATGCTTACTATTCTTTGAAATGGACAGTGTTTTGCACTCAGAACAAGCTTTGACATTCTCTTTCGTTAGTTTTGAGTTGTCTTATTCAGTCTTTTTATCTATGACAAAACATTTCTAACGTTTCGTAGTCAATCATTTTGAAATATTTATCTCTAATATATTTGATGTTATTAAATTTTGATGAACATGTCTTTATCATACAACCGAACTGTTTTGATTACAGTGATATCGATGATTTGGGCGGAAAATTATCCGAATATTGGTTCTCAATTGATCAGTCATTATCGAATAAAGACAGTTCCAATCATATTTCAGATTCCGATCATCTATCAACTAACATTGGCTCAAAAATGGGAACAGCTATAGGATTTCAAGTTCGTAGTCGTCGGTCAGCCACAAGTGGTCTTATGAGAACTGGTCAAAGTGTTTGTGAAACAGCTACTTCTAGTTCAGATAATCGATTTGCAGGAAATTTCCAACCTACAGATCATTTGAAATTGGAGCGAATCAACTCAGATACCAGTTTAATAAAACGTGGAAATAAATCAAAGGATATAGAAGAGACTGATGAAAAATCAATTAATGATATTACTACAAATTTGAATCTTAGTGGGAAACAGTTTGAAAATGGAAAGCTTTCAGTAAGTGTATTATTTAACCTCTCTCTCTCTCTCGAAACTACCTATCAACCTTTTTTGAAATTATTCTGTATCGTTGTTATTTATGTTAAGTGTCCTTTTGATTATCAACAGTTTGTTGAATTTTTGAACGAATGATCTAATATATTGTTTCGTTTAAAATAAGTGATCAAAGTCGTTGTATTTGTATTTTATCTTTCCCGTATTTGTCAGTAAGTTATATCTACAATGATTCCTGAAAATGTCTAGTTTAGATGCAAATAAGTTTGATGTTCTGGTGTCATAGATTCATGTACTAGACCTAGCTGTGATACTATTGAGTTGTCTAAAACTTTTAAACAGTCTTGTGTTTAAAGTTGAGTATCCATCATATAGCGGCGTAATTCATTTGCACAAAAATTCAGCTTGTAAGTAAGGAATTATAAAACTCAATACACTGCTCTTATAGTGATTGAATCAGACTAACAGTATTGTTATCTCATAAGCTCATAGATGATAATGTATACTACGTTGGAAATATAACGTTTGCTGTTCAATCACTTCGATTCTATTTGCACAATTATTTTTAATGCAGGAACTTGTCAATCTGTAAACGGTAACCCATTTCGTGATTTCTAATCCAAAGAATTAAATCATCTTAGGAAATGACTATTGTGACACACTACGGTATGTCATAAAATTCGACTAGAAAAGTGGATAGGAACGGGAACTTCAAGACATATTACCACCGATTTTGACCTGTAAGAGATAGTTGAAGTAGACCTGTTTGTAATTAGTTTTGGTACTATTTGCATTTTTCATCACTTCTTACAATTACTATTATCGCCTGTAAAATTGTTGTTTAGAATGCATAACCTTTGACCTTCCATCCCGATTTGTAAACAAACATAACATGACCCATTGGTCATCGTTCACAAATACTCTGCTGCACACATGGGCTGTGTCTAGTTTCTGGACAGATCAATCTGTCCATTCTTCTTTAACCACATTTTAACCTTGTCACTTACTTATTGGTTTATTTATTGTGACTGTTTTCAGATGAGCGTATATGTGTTGACTGCTTATCCCATTCACCATATGCTTGTAACTTGTTTTTGGTCCGACTATATAAATATTGAGTAACGCTTGAGTAAATTGAGTTGGCCTTCTCTACCACACGTCATCCGCTTCGCTCTCCGTTCTTCGCTTCCTTCGCTGCGTTTCTTTGATTATCTGTTCCGATCAACGGTCGCGCGAAATATACACATTCAAACTCCATTCTCGTATTTGAATTATTTAAATCTGTTATACTCACTAACGCGTATTTTGATGACAATCAGCATACAATCCAACTGGAGTCAGATACAGAGCCACTAAAGTGATGAGCTCTACCACGAATTTAACTCAACAAACTAGGTCTATGAAGAATCTTATGCACTCCATGCATTTGATGAACCAACTCAATGTAGCATACTCAGTCGATAACCTCACCGATGACATCGTTATACCGCTACAAAAGTGGTAAGCCCGAGTTCGAACTAATCAGCTGTCTTTGTCGACTAGCAGCTCAAAGGACTTAATCTCTAGTCCGACACATTCAGCGAAGCCAGTAAAGCAGCGACATGAACATGCTCGAATCATATCATCTTATAGATATTTTGTCTTCATATCAATTGTGCTCACTGACCTATTTGGCGGATCGTTACATTATGAATACAATAATTGTCAATGGTCTCATTATCACATTAATGTCATATTATTGCTGTTCGGTGATATTAAATTATAACATTTACTTAATTATATACTCACTCATCAAATCAAAGTTTTATGAACAGTCAATTCAAGTTATGACATACAAAACTCGCTGGACTATGAATTTGGTATTGTTTGTTTGAATCTTCCCATTAATCTTTCCTTCTATTTAGGACTCATTAGCTGGGTGTACCAACTGCACAAGCTAGAGGCTATCGGGACTCAGTAGCGAAGTGGATAACACGATCGTGTTTGAAGTGAACGGTACTGAATTCGAATCTCAAAGTGAACATCAAATTTAAAGGACTCAATCTCTAGTCCGACACATTCAGCGAAGCCAGTAAAGCATATTTATGGTGTGAATTATCCTAATTTACCAATATTCATTATTACTATTATTATTATTATTTCTACGTCATTGTACCTTCTTATTTCGAACAACATAAATACCTATTTGTTTATATATTTCAAATGCAATAGAAATCATTAATATGAGACTAAGTTATAAATGCTTAATTGATTACAGAAGAATGAAGATAATTAGGGTAATAAAAATGAAAAATAAATAGGACAATCGAATTGGAAAAAATGTTCCACAGTACACATATAGAGGAATATGGAAAGAGGAAATAGTAAACATACATTATGTTGGTTGACAATAATGAGAACTTTTAATGTTACATAAATGTGTGTATACAAGCAAGTGGATAGCTTGTTTTTTCTTTTCTTTTAATGAATGCCATTTAAAGGTAAACACAGTAAGAAAAAACAGCCAACTACATAATGATTAGGAGAGGTTTATACGAAGTGATTCAGTCAGTCAATCAGTCAGCTACAACGTAGGAACAGGCACCTATGTGCATCGATCCAAGTTGTCGTACCGCATTAGCACAACAAGATGAACATCAAATTCATAGGAGTAGTTAATTCAGTGGTGGTAATGTATAAAAGAAAGATTGCATAAAGGATATAGCATAGCAATAAGGAATTAGTTCGTAGAATGAAAGATATAAAGCAATTTTAATCTCACAGTTTGAAGGAAGACAAAAGTGTATACACCTACGCCATTATGATCGATGCTGAGCCATGTCACACACAGTCTCCAACCATTGGTTACGATTGTCACACGGACAACAATCAAGTAGCCTGTATTTACCAACATGGCTAACACTACAAGTTAGTGACTTCAAGCACTAATGCCACGTTTAAGTTTGGCCACCTCTAACTTTCTCCCAACCATCTCTAACACCAGTCAGGATTGCGAGTCGTGGTAATCGATGTTCAGATATACGCAACACCATGGCCCAACCATCTCAGTCGATGAAGATTCACAACCTCATCAACTGATTTACCATCATCATTCCCTAATACCCTGCGTCTAACCTCACTATTGCTTACCCGGTGATCTCAGTAGATGCGAGCAATATTTCTAAGACATCTGTGGTCAAATATTAGTAGCTTAAGAATATCTTTCAAATTACTGCTTATACTTTTACTACCTCTACCACTATGGGATTTGAATCGACAATTGTATGTGTACAAATGTGATGTGGCAACTCGAACTGATGTATGTACGTACGAAGTTCTACGTTGTTACTGATTGACTGACTTCAGACGGGAATTTATATTTCCGAAATATAAATAACACTATGACCGGTAAAACAGCTGGTTTTCTAATCATTTTACGGAAACCTACATTATATGGTGTTAAATCAAATGATAGAAGCACGATTGTGACAGTATTCATAAATTGTTGAAATTGAATGTTAGTTTTAGTGTCAGTTATTATGCTAAGCCCATATACCTTATTCTAGTTTTCGGACATCCCATTCTATTCATTCTACTTGAGTCATACTTTGACCTTGTTAATTATTCGCTTATCAATCTAGACTGTTTTTATATGAGCGTATATGTGTGTGCCCATTAATCACATGTTTGTAGCTTATTTTTGTCTGACTATAAATATGAGTAACGCTTGACTAAAATGGAGTTGGCTTCCCAGCCATCTTCCCTGCGTGTCATTTTGCTTGGCTCTGTTTCATTCGCTTCATATACAAAATATATGTATTCTCAAGTCAATTCTCGTTATTCGACTTATTTAATTCCGTTATCGACTAACGCGATTTAAGTCGACGATTATATATGAGAATAGGCGATAATAATCATTCGTACGATCTTAGAGTCAGATCCACGGGCCACTAAATAGTCTTAACCAGTAACTCATGATAAACGTAGGTAGTTTCTATATATTATAAATATTGAGTAAAAGTGACTTTTTAATTTTAGATTAATTTACGATAATTGTCAATGCTTGCACTTTCCTGTTGTATAAACATTCAAGACTGTGTTTGACCAGTCTCTATTAGCACATGTGCATCCCTAGCAGATTGTGGCCGAGTCATGAATAGGAAAAAACGCAAATACTGCATGTTATTGCTAGCAATAATTTAACGTTACTACAGTGGTCTACAATAGTTTGACAAATAGCAAATTAATAATGAGAAAATTATCGACAGGGTCGAAAGACACATTAACTTAAAGTACTTATTAATTGTAGATTTACTTTAGCAGGATCAAACCACTTTTTATTTTATATTTATTTTATTTTAACACATAGATATTGGTACAAGGAGGCACCAAATACATATGCCCCACACAAATCTCATTTGATTTGTGTTAGGGCAGTGATACTCATGGTGCAAGAAGGCAGTGAGTAAGACTTCTCTGGCATAGGCTATATACATGTGGCCATGTGAGAGCATTTCGAGAGGGTAAGCGGACTCTCCTCATCCTCGGCCGTACCAGGACACTTGAGGGCCACACCTTAAGCACGACGGCTACTGACATATCAACTAGTTATACAAACTGAATTAACTAGACAAGGGATATCAAAGCTTAATTTGTGGAATGAAAGTCGAAGATTATGACTACCAAACCACTGACTCATAGAAGTATTAATCTATAACTAGTATTGATCCCAGTCAGCTTGGAAATATACAACATCATTGATTCGATTGTATTAAAACAGGAGTGAAATGAAAGAAAACGAAAGGATATAATGAGAAAACACCTACATGAAAGAAAGTCGATGTGATAATAACCACGTAATCAATTAATATTTCCGATGAAAAATCGTATTCACAAGTGTAATACAAACCAATCATCATACACTCAAACCAGATCATCATCCATCAATTTAATCTTAGCTTTGTGCATTTTAACGAGGAAGTGATAGATAGAAAGCAAGAAAACGAGTAGATGGAGGACAGCTT